TGTTTAAAGTGCTTTCTGCTCTCTCTACCACTGACAGTAAAGCTATTGCACGGTTGTGTGCATGATGCTTTGTTTCTTCTATGACTGATAGCTAATGTGCTTCCTAAGTCATGTTACAAGAGAGCTCATTTCACAAGCTTAAAGCCTGCATATTTAATTTGTTGAAGATTTTCTGAAATAGAGACTTCGAACCCAGTGTTGAAGGCAGAGTTATGCCATCTTCTGTTCCAGTTGTTCCAGCTTTGTAGACTAACTAGGCCACTGAATTGGCATACGTGCAAATCTTCAGTCCTGGACGACTCTGCTTTGGCTGCTAACTGAACAGAACCAGTCAATTAGCTGGCCTGCTATGCAGTAGTACCTGGGTGGGCCAGAGCAGATGTCTGTTGCCTGGTGTCACAGCCAAATTGGTATGGTGCACAGGGGACGTTGTGTAGGACCTTTGCGTTGGAGATGATTTGATTGATTTCTAAACACAGTTCCATATTTGCATTATGATTTTTTTTTCCTACCTCCATAGACACTTCTAACAGCTTTTTATTCTTTTCCAACTGAATACAAGTACAAATAAAAATGCTCGGTTTGCTGGATACTTATTTTCTATGCTAATTCTTAAACTAAGTCATAAAGAACCAGTGACTCGGCAAGACTTCTTCATCCCTGACCTGGAAGGATTGCATCTAGGAGCAAGTTAAAAGGAGTGGTTCAAGCCTCCTTTTATTGAGAACTAATGCACATATTATAATTAGGAATAAGCTTGAAGCGACAATGACACTCGTGTAATACGAAGAGCACTGCACAGCCAGCAGCTACTCAGAATAAGCCATTATGTATATATGCTGGAACTGGATGGGTAATTTGGAGTAAAAACTTACTGGTTTGTATGATTAATTCACAGGGTGGAGAATGTATATTTCCTGTGTATGTATATCTATACATACACGCACACTTTTACATAAACGTTTTTACTATATAGGATATTTTTTTTTCTTCTTGATTATACTCGATTTTGGATGAAGAGTACTATTACCACAATTTTACAGGTGAGGAAGGTGGTTGGAATAGGAAATGGAATTGAATCCAGGGATCTGCAACTGTGAGTGTCTAATTGTGCAGCCAGTTTTATTTTCTGGATTAAACAGTTTTTCCCTCCTGTGTGTTTCGAGTACAAAGCATATTGTTCTTGAATCCTTTTGTTCTACCAGTTAACCCCAACAAAAGCTAATGGAATTACAGAAGATTACTTGTTTGATTCTCATTGCTTTCACTTGATGATCACTGAACAATCAATCAGCAGATAGTGTAAGTTAACACTGCTGGCAAAATACAAGCAGTGAGCTTGTATTTACAATACACAGAAAACTAAATGTGCTACTGTAAAGCAAAATAAAAACTCCACTGTTTGGTAGAATCAAGGAGAGAAATATAACCTTTCAGTGTGTTGAATCTGTTACATGTCACTGGGTGTACTGTAAACTATCCCACATTGAATTCTTCAGCTAGACAGTAAGTCTTAAGAATTTGAGATGTCGTCCTCCTATTGCGAGAGGTGGGGAAAAATACTGTGCTGCATACGTGTGAACTGTAACAAAACAGAATGAAAAGCAGTTGAAGACCTTTCCTTGTCTGCATTCAGAATAGTAGAGGGAAGAAGTTGTTTTTTGAGGAAGAAAGCATTTGGAGGTAAGATTTGAAAATGCTTGTGCTTATCTCACTCAGCCTCAACAGTTTATAGAGAAGTGTAACATTCTGTAAAATGTTTGACATGTTTGTGTTGGCTAGTTTTAAAGAGCTGTATATATGATGATTTGATGTTGCTGTTAGAAAGTAGCGAGATTAGGAAACCAATATTTTTTGGCTACTTTGTTCCTACCTTATGCCTGCCAAAAGGAAAGGATGAAATAGTTGTTGGAGCCAAAGAGGCTTGACTCAGCTATAGTGATGTGCCCTTCAGTGCTACTGTCTGCTTCTGTGGCAAGTCAGTTCGTTTCTCTGACCAAATTCCTCACTGCTAAATTGTCAATAAACTTTTCTCCAGCTTACCAGAAAATAAATACATTAAGATGTTTTAAAGAGGTGAGATGATGGTATGTAAGGGAAGAATCAAGAATCTGGCCTTGACTACAGGTAGAATCTTCAAAGGAGTCTTGAAGGAGCTCAGAACCCAACTGCTGTCACCTTCACCTAACTAGCTTAGTTCAGCTTGTTCACAGATCACAGCTAGTATGTTATGAAGGGGCTGTTACAATTGAAGTAAACATTTTAATGAAGCTTAGGTACTTCAGCACTGAGGTTTGACTTAAGCTTAGAAGTTCAGTTTTATATACCTAGCAGGTCAGACCTTGCTTAGGGTCCCGGAATAAATATTGCCGTGTGCATCCTTGAAATATAAAATTACAGAATATTTTAGGTTGGAAGAGACCTTCAGAGGTCATCTTGTCTAACTTCTTCCTCAAAGCATATATGAACTGTGAAATTATTTCCAGTGTAGCTGTGCGCTGTCTAGCTGGTTCCTTTAGTACAATGGTGCTTCTTTTTCCAGGTATATGTTTCCAATCTGTATGTCAAAAGAAACAAATTGCAGGATTTTGTTTCCTAAGTATTTAGATACATAGGTGTTAATAAACTGAAAAATTATGCAAAAATATGATGTATTTCTACTTTGCTGTATTCGCATATTGTATATGAAGTGAACATTCATTTCTCTGGATTTCTTTGCCCATGGCAGGGGGGTTGGAACTAGATGATCTTTAAGGTCCTTTCCAACCCTAACCATTCTATGATTCAGGAATGAGAATTTTTTTTCATTACTTTTTACCGATATCATTTCAGAGGTGATTCAAGAGAATGAACTAGTTTCAGTTCTGGTTCCTACCGTATCAATGAAGTTTGTAGACTCCAGAAATCAGTCAAAAAATGATTTTAAGACCTTTTTTATGGAAAGAGGGTATATGACAGAGGTATTTAGACTTGATTTTTTTCCTGTATAATCTTTGATGACAAGGTGGTGTCAGTTGTCCATCTTGCCTCTGTTTCCATCTGTCCGAAATGAAGCAGTGATTTGAAGCACCAAAGTGCGTGGTTCCGAGTGACTTAGAGCAACTTTAAATATACTGTCATTGTAACTCCTTACCTGTTAGTATCATCTAATCTGAAGGAATCTATTTTGAGAGTGACATTCCAGATTGATTTTTGCAGAGCTAACAGTCTAATTCTTCTGTCTCCACCCCCTCACACCCCGCCCCACATAAACAGGTATGATTTGAATTTGATCAGCCAGAAAACCATAAATCCAAGCTGCTATTTTTACCAAGTCAGTTTTCAGAACTGTGCTTAAACGACATACTTTAGTCTGTCTTAAACTCTTCTTCTTCCAAAGGAATTTTGATACATAAGTTGTTGTTTTTTTTTTTAGAAAAATATAAAATCTACTGATAATTCAGAGATGTGTATTTATGCAAAGGAATAAAGTCTTTTTTTATGTCTGTTTCCCCCCTCTCCCTTAACTGCAAAAAATATCTAATTTCAGTGAGAAGTATATTTGTAGTGAAAGCTGAGCCTATCTCAAGGGCAAGTCAAACTTCAGGATTTGGGATGAGGTATTCTCAACAAGAGCTTAAGCACATGTTTTTGCGAACAAAGATTTTAGTTACCCGGGGTATGGTTAAAAAATGCTAGAGTATTTTAATGTAAGCGTTAAAATATCCCAAATAGCGTTTCATATATTTAGAACTGTCACTTACAGCATGATTTTATTGAAAAGCAATTGCTTTTTACATTCAGTAAATCTTTTTCGGCAAAGAAATTGTATTTAATATCCTTGTTATTCCAGGGCACAATGGAATAGTATAATGATTTGGGGTTTTTTAGGTTTTTTTTGAAGTCGCAATTTCGTCTTACCTGACTTGAAAGGTATGCAAAGGACAGAAAGAGACAGTGTTGGCAATGTAGCATAGGCTGAAGCCAGCTGACTCCTGTAACTACAATTGTTGTGGATCAGCTGGTTGACAATAGGCAAAGAACTATACCTTACGGACCTCCCACCCCCACTTAATGTCTTTCTAGTGCCACCTATATAAGGCCTTGTGACTGCTAGTTGGTGTGACTGGGCTTCCAGCAGGCTACAGCCTGCCAGGCAAGAAAGAATCTCAGCTCATTGCTACAAGCATTAGGGTCTAGGGCTGACTTTCTGAAAAGAAAGAGAAAAATAACCACCTTTCCTTAGTACACTTCTGCCACAAATGGGGGAATTAGTCCTTCAGGAGCAGAGATACAGGTCCAGTGGGTCCAACCTGGCTAGCTGCTGCAACAATGATGTATTATTGTCTTACCTGAAACTAAAGGTTCAGTAAGTTGTCACTGAAGCAGACGAGTATTTGTATAAAAGGTAGAGGTGGGAAGTGTCAGTGGCCAGCACTAGCTGTTGTGCTGCTTTATGAAGATACAATGCTATTCGGTAAATATATTTGGTGGTGTTTTATTTTCTCTAATTATTTTGAAGCCGTAGAATAGACTGATTCCATTTGGTAACAGCATTTGTTAATTGTTAGTAAGTTTGCTGTAGTAGTGTAACTCGGTTGTTCCTGTGTTTTTCTTGAGCCTGATCCAAAAATCTCTGAAGCTTTCCATTTATTTTGAATGGATATTGGATCAGGCACCATAATGAGTTGTTAGCTTTGTGTAAAATGTTTATTTTGATTTGATTTTAATCATTCCTTGCAGAATATTTGGTTATGTGTTGGCAACGTGTAGCTTGGTGAGTACAAATGAAATTGACGTTTATCTGTATGATTTAATCACTTGCAATGTGATCCGTTAACAAAATGAAACTTTGATTATCGATGTTGTATTCATGTGTTAGATCTACATCTGTTTGTCTGACATGTGATCTCGTAGAATCAGTTCCTGTTGTCATCTTCTACAATTCTAAAAAGAGAACCTGCAAAACTTGATTTGGTATAATGAAGTACTTTTTTTTCTTTTTTTCTTTTACTATATGATAACACAGGTACAACAAGCGGATAAGCGATGTGCACTGCTCTGAGCCCCAAGGCACGTGGGCCTGGCCTCTCTGATATGCATCAATACAGTCAGTGGCTTGCAAGTAGACATGAGGCCAACTTGTTGCCGATGAAAGAGGATTTGGCCCTGTGGCTCACAAACCTACTGGGTAAGATACAGTAAGATAGAAGACAATACTGGGTGGTAGGAGAATTCTGTACACTGTTAGCTGGGAATTCAGTCATCCACGCTTCTTTGTGTTTCAAAAATAAAGGTAGTTATGATTAGGTAGCTACCTCCACATAGTGCAACTGTTAGCGAGGCCAGAAAAGCTAATAAATAGTTTGCCTCTACAGTGTTTCTGTGAGTGGTATAATTGAACTTCGTTATTCATTTCATGTTTATTTTTCCTGTAATTTCCTTTTAAACGTTCTTTTCCATGTGTTGTCTGTATTAATACCGTTAAGCTGAATGGTGCTAATTATTGCCGTTAAGTACCTCTTCCGTTTTTATTGGTAGGCCTCCTAAAGAGTATGGGTGTACTGACTGTCTTGAACGGAAGAAGCCATTAAATAGTGCTTTGCTGACCAAGCAGTCTAGTGATTGATAATTGCTGCCTAAGGCAATGCATGCTAAGGCTTGTGGAAGCTTGTGCGTAGTGGGGTCTGACCTAGTGACTGCAGCTGGGACCTGGGGATTTACTGGTTGCAGCTGTACGTCTTGGTGTGTGAAGGCAAAACATGATGTTGATGAAAGAGGATGCGAACCAAAAGCCAAGAAAAAGGTCAGGTACACATGAAGAGGAGTGAATGAGAGTATGTCCCTGGCAGGAAGGAGGCAGTCAGTTCTTTGGGATATACAACTCATTCAAGAAGATGGAATTTAGAAACTATGAGCCAGGAAATAGTATGTTGCTTGTTGAGGATGTTCAGGAGAAAATGGCTTTTGTGTGATCTCTGTAAGTCCAAAGGATTCTACCAAAGAAATACATGATTTATACGATATCTCTTCCTAAGGGAAATATACCAGCAGTTCCTCTCATTAAACAAAGAGGAGGAAGTATTTCAGAGGAGGTGATGTTTACATGAAACTTCCATTGATGTTATTTTGAAGTAAAATTTGAATGAGCGTTTTTAAATATGATGTGTGTGATTTGGGTTGGTGTTTTTTTTTTTTCTGGAAGTGTGTTCTGGTGAGACATAGGCGGTGTCTTGTCTTGGCAAATGCTGTAGCTGAACTGTCTCGGTGGTATCATACGATCATAGAGTATATCTAGTGCCTTTCATCTGCACATTCTACATTGCTGTATTTCCTCTTTTTTAAGAGGAAAGGAGTATCACTATGTTATGAGAGGTGTAGTCAATAAGTACAGTGCAAGAACACAGTGTTTTGCAGGTAGGCGATACCCATTTTAGAGTTGGAGTAGTTATGAATCCACAACTGCAAAGGTGGCACTTGTTTTAAATTACATCTCTGTGTGGTACTGCCATTTAAATTAATTAGTTTGAATATAAAATTGTCTAGACGATGCCAGAACAAAATCCAGAAATTCTGACTTTTCATTCCAATTACCACAAGACAACAATCCAAAAGACTGTTTTTTGAATCAGAAGCAGCACATTCCATTAACGATTTAATATATTGCTTAAATGTTTTAAACAATGAAGTTTCAGTGAGCCACTCTAAAACAAATAGAAGCTTGTTTGCAGTTCATAACAGAGTGACAGTGACAAGTTGGGGAATGAGGTCACTTTTTTAGCAAGAAGTAGCAACCAGCAGGAGGTTCTGAAATGCCAACTATAATTAAAAATCTGATTTTTTTCATATGGACACCAAATTCTGCACTGCAGAACTAAATGGCCACAACCTTCTGTTAATTAAGCAGCATACACAGTTCATCTGCTTAATGCATTCCCCCACACCTCACACCAAGCTCTTCTTTTCCCAGAGTTTGTCCTAAAGAACTGAAATTATAGTGATTTGTTAAACTGTGTTGAATTCCTGTGCAGACATTGTTATTCAAATTAATAATTCAATTAAGTTAAAATTCACAGTCAAAATAAATTGAGTGTAACTGAATTAAAGTAATTAATATTCATATAAATATATTAACTCAGAATTCAAATTTTGTTTAATTACTGTATAATTTAGGTGAACTTTAGTGAGAGGAGGGACACATACACGTGAGCATGTTACTGTAAGATAAAATCAGTATAAATTTATAGCATGCTGTTACCTTGTTGTAAAAACCTGTTTGCACTCTCTCTTCAGCATGCAAAAGGATGAAAGGTTATGTAAGACTGGTTTTGTTTGTTTTGTTGTGGTTTTTTTCTCCATAGGAGAAATAATGTACTTTGCATTAATGGTCAGTAGACTTTGACATGCATGGATGTGCAGATAAGACAAAGGAGATAATGTTCTGTGTATACACTCCCTAGTTTGCTCTGTGCTATAACTTGTTCAGCCTCATTATAAGTGTCTTTACGCCAGTTTTAATGCAATAGGAATTCTCAATTTATAAAGAAAATTAATGTGCATTTCAATTAATTTTTGCCGTGTTTGTTCACGTTTTGTTTAATTTTGTTGGTTCATCTATACTATGACTTGACAAGGACACATACTCATTTCGAATAAATGTAGATTTAAAAAAATAATATTTTAGACAAGAATAGGGTTGAAACTCTTTGAGGTAGTTTGATTAGCTAATGATGTTGGATATTTTTGTGGAGAGGCAAATATATCCTACACTATGTTACTGGAAGTTAAAATGGTGACAGTTTTGCAGCAGCAAAGCCTGATGTGGGTTCAAACTTCCAAAGTGGAAAACATCAGAAGGATATTGAACTTTACAATATGAATGAAGAGTTTGGATATTAGATGGAAGTTAGGCATAACCAGCATTTGACCTTACCCGAGCGACAAATTGCAAGACTGAGATACATGGTGCAGATGGAAAATAACCCTGTAAAAATTTTTAACCCTGAGACTTTGGACATTTTATTCTGATTTAGCATGGACGTTGTTGCGGATTTTTTTTAGCAATCACTAGTACTTTTGTACGCATTTTGCTAATTATTTTCAGAACCATGTCAGAGAAACTCAGAGTTTCCGAGAGGACTGTTTGTCGTTACAGCTCCATTGCTGAATAGATTTTAGTTGCCTGTGTTCTAGGGGCTGGAAAAAGGACATGGCAGATGAAATCGATGTGTCAAATGGCATTGACTGGTACAATATTGTGCATTATAACATTCTCAAAGTAGACATGTCAGCATTGTGGGGGTTGGGATTTGCATGCTGGAGAGGAAGATTGTGGCTATGGATATGGTATCTCTTACCCTAACTTCCATTTGCTGAGTTCTAGTGGCTCAGTAGAGATCCTTGCAGTGGAAAAGTTAAGGAAATGGGTTGACCCAACTGTCTGGCAAATCATGATCATCTCTCAGCCTAGTTTTTATTATGTATAGAGCCCATGAAACACTGTTTTTGCTGCTGACACACTCCAAATTTGATAGATTGTGTATATACTGATTTTAGTAGAATGCCCTTGTGGATACCGAAAACTTCTGTTCCACCATGAGAAAGCTTCACATGGGAATTAGCACAATTGGGCCATAGTTATCTTCTAGCAGAGGCAAAGTGACAATCTGAAAGCAAATAGGATTTGCTTGTCTGCTATACTCTCCAGTAGGCTTTCCTCTTGTGTGTCTGTAGAGGCAAAAGAGCTGACACCAGGAGTGGGCCTCATCACCAGTCTGTAGTCTGGGGCACGTACAGAGGCATGGTTTCTCTCTTTTCCCTTTGGTTATTGTGTAGAGCTCTGCTATTTTTTATCCTGTTCCTAGAGCCCATTTTCCAGCTGCAGAGTGTTATGATATTGTTGCTTAATCCATATAGCTTCATATAGCACATGAGACCATGGAATAGACCTGTAAGTTGTGCCTTGGACACATATCTGGGCTTCAAGGTCTCAGTGATGAGGCCTGTTCCTAACACAGCTTTCTGGCCTTCGGAAGCTTATGGGTAAGGAGCTGGAGGATGCAAGATGCTGAGGAATTGGACATGTAAACGTTGAATGTCGCATGAGGCATGTAAAAGTTGCTTGTGTGCAAAAGTGAAGTGGGCGTGGAGAAAAGGAATAGAGAGGTACGGATGTCAGGAGAGGCATTGAGTTGAAGACCAGTCGTGGAATTTAAAGGTGTGTTGAAGGAGCTGTAAAGTTTGGGGATGAATGGTGGGAAGTCTTCTACAAGAAAAGTTCTTGCTTATCTTATTGTCTAAGAGGATTCTGTAGCAGTACCTTCATTTTCAACATCAATAGGTTCAGCTGAAGCCAGTAGGAAATACAGCTTTTAAATATCTGAATATTTAGACATTCATGATACTGATACTTCTAGTGATTCTGCTGACACTGATGCAGTTTATTGTTTGGTTGAAAGGCTTTATAATTTTCTTTAGGATCAACATGCCTTTGAGGTTTTTTTATATGTCTCATTTCAAGTAAGTGATAATGTTTCAATGCTATCAAAACTATTTCTCTTGCTGTCAGCTATTGTAGGAAACAGAGTAGCCTTGTCAGAAAAGAACCAGTTTTGCATGTGTGCGAAGTCATTGGCCTTTGTTTTCTTTATTTTTATTGTGTTTTTTTATCTTGGGTTTAAATGCCACACGATTTTAGAAGGTCAGAAGTTGTTCCACTAATACCTCAGTATTGTCGAAGCTCATCCTTCTCCCAATGTGTTTCAGAGATAGACCCAAGTGAAATGTTTCTATTTCTAAACTAGTATTTTTGTGGAAGCGTACAATTAAAATAGTCAATTGGCTAGTAGGGAAACTGGAGTCCATGTCTTGCATTGCAGTTATTAAACTAAGCGTGGAAGAACCCAGTGCAATAATGGGGGAACCAACTAGACTTTGTTACTTTGTTTTAGCCTTCCAACCCCTCTGCCTTCTTGTGAAGGCTCTGGTTGTCTGAGACAGCCCCTAGGTAATGCTTTATCTTTGGTCGCTTTGGCACACACCCTGGGCAGGTGGTTCTTTCATAGACCTCCCAGTGTGGTTGTGTTAGGACCCCCAGGACTGGGTGGCCTTACAGATAGCTGCCCACAGTTTCCAAGTGGTAGGTGTTCAGGTGTAACAGTTGGTCTTTTTAAGGGGCATCTGGTGATTGTGGTAAAGAGAGGGTAAACAATGCTTGCGAGGTTTGAGGAAAGCCTTCATATTCCTGTTTTTTTTCCATACTTCTGGTGTTGTTTTTTTTTTTATTATACCTAATGTTATTACCATTCTATAAAAACATTGCAACTGCTTTCTTGTAATTATAGGGGGAGTTATACATTTTTAATGGAGTTTAATGTTTTTTCCATACAAATGTACAGAGCCATTTTTTTCCTCAGGCTATGAACATTACTCTCATTTGAATCAATACATTTCAACTGTTAAATATGTCAGAGTGTAAATATGTCAGAGTGTCTGGTTTAGCAAAGAAATACCACCTTTTGGAGCCATAAAATACAGTGAATTGAAAGCTGACACCTAATATATTTTTCATTGGATACAGATGTTCAATGCAAAACTCATTCTTTCAGCTTTCATAAAAGGGAACAGAACTAAAATACTCCAGCAGTGACCAAACTGCTAATGTAATTCAGCATTTAAAATAATATAAATGTATTGTTAGATAGGAGAAGATAGAAGAATTTTTCCATGTCTGTGTAAAGAGAAAATACCTCTAAATAGGTTTTAGGTTTTTTAAAGGTTGGCTAGTGAAATAATAAATCTATAAGTCATAGGACAGAATGTGATTTTTCTTTTACCTGTGTGAAAAATTATACTTTCCAAAATAAAATAAAAATCTTGAGTAGGTTAAAAAGATTTTAAATAATTTTTTTTTAGAAGAAAATTAATCCATTATAAAATGCAATACTCTATTAAAAATAATGCAGTTCCTATAACATAGTCATTTTTCAAATTTAGCTTTCTAATGGCTTTATACCTCTTGCCAAAAATGCTGATGGGGCAAATGGGAAAATATGTGGGCTAGAATGGTGCTGAAGGCTTTTCAGGTGCTGATATGTTTGATTTTTGTATCTATAGGCTATTATAGTTTCAGTCCTGGCTTCAACTAAGCTGGAGGCACTACTAAAATATTATCAGTTATGCACAAGCTACCACTGAATGTCTGCAGTGCTGCTACTGCTCTTTTGCCTGGAGAAGTCATTTAGGTATACAGGAGCTATAAAGTGGGCTATATGGCAGGGGGAATAAAAAGGGGAAAAAAAACTTTCAAATTAAACAGGTACTTCTGAAGTAGAAGTGTGGTAGAAAAAGCAAGTTTAACTTCAACAAAAAATATAAGTCTACTCTTGTACCAGAAGATGATTTGCTGCTAAGATCTTTATCTTAGTCTTTGAATATAACTTATGAAACTGAAAAGCCTCACAATTTTTTGCCCAGAGGATGCTGAAGTATCTAACAGTTTTCAGGCAAGGGCCTACAATGTACCAGCAAGGTATTGCATAAGTACGATATTCATTTTTGTTATTATCTACTTCATTTTTGTTTCTTTTGAGTATTAGTTTTCTAACTTAAGAAAGAAAGAATGAATGAATGCTCTTGTTCTGAGTGAAAAGGTATAGAAAAGCTTTACTTCTTTTTTTTTTTTTTAGAAATGCACTTTTCCTAGGTTGTTTTTTTGACAAAAAAAGTGTGTTCTAAATGGATTAATGTTTTCAGACATCTCATGGAAAACAGCTTTTCCAAAACTAACTAGAAAACAAAAGATCCTGATTTAGTCAGGCAGCTACTTGTTGGTCAAAAATCTGTGGCAAAAAAAAACTAACCAGCAGCAGGCAGACTTCTACCTGTTGTCCTGCTTGCAAACAAGGAAGTTTTGAGTAGCAGGAGTAGATCTGGATGGGATGAGGAATGACTCTTACTTCACTTTTTTAGTATTCAATTTTTTTGGCAGGGTAGGCTATTGTTACTGATTTTTGCTGTGTAACAGCCTATGAAAAATGAGTTGATAGTGTTATTCCTGTTCCCAGAAGACACATGTAAATATCACCAAAAATAAATAAATCCTGTCTTAACAGGAAGAGTGAGAATTAGTCCTTGATGATCTCTTGATATTAGTAGAAGAGGGCTGAAAAATACAGCTACTAGTCAAAAAAGTGTGCAAAGAGAAGGCAAATTTTCCAGTAGAAATGTGAAAATGAAAGACCTTCAATAAGAAATAGGAATGTTTTTACCTGGAAATGATGCCAAGATCCTGGAAGTTTAGTCTAGGGTGGTAAATTGTTGTGTTCTCATTTGGCCTGCCCAGCCTGGTCAGAGTGCACATCTCATCTTGGGACTCTTGCGATCTCCTCTGCCAGGAGGATGCAATTACGGTGTAATGGAAGGTGGTCTGATCTACTGTAGCTAGGGAGGACGATCTGTGGCAGCTGAAGTACAGCATCATCTAACATGATAAAAATAGATGTATTTCGAGATCAGAGTATTTTGACTTTGTTCTTTGGGTGAAAATTTTGATCTATGTGGCAAGTAGATACATAACATGAAGTTTCATTCTCTTCCCCCCCCCCCCCTTTTTTTTAACGTACTTAACTTTACCTCTTTCAAAGGAGCATTACAGTCACTGTAGTATCTTGTCAGCTACTTGAAAGATCAAGTCTTAAAGTCTTTTCTCTAAAAATACAGTTCTTTCCTTCCTGACATGGTTTTCTACTTCTGTTACAAAATGAGCTACACTAGTGTTAGCAACTCTTATGCTATAGCTACCCTTGCACACTGACGTAAACCATTTGCCTGCTGTACTTTCTTTTAAAACTCTAGGTTAAAAGCACTGGAAATTCGTAAACGAGATATGTGGAGTCTGATACACTAGAATTATTTTTCAAATACCACATGCCTATCCCAAAGAAAGTATGTTGGTTTTGAATAATCTGCTGTATGTGTACCAGTAAAGTAGTAGTGAGGTTATTCACTGAACTTTCAAAGTAATGCAAGTTTTTCAATTAAAGCATGTTTTCAATTGTCGCAAAGATTTCTGTTGATTTCTCTTTTTACACAAATGCAGTCTATACTATTGCACGCTTTCTGCCATGTTAACTTTCTGTTTGCTGTTCAGGTAGAGAAATAACAGCAGAAACCTTTATGGAGAAATTGGATAATGGTGCCTTGCTTTGTCGGTTAGCTGAGACCCTGCAGGAGAAATTTAAAGAAAACAGCTTTGATGCAAACAAGCCTGGCAAAGTAAGTGTCAGTAAATGTTGTAGCATGTGTTATCAATATCTGAAGTATCTGACTGTTTTGCTGCTGAACTTTTTTGGGCAGTTAAGAGACTTCATTTTTGAAGATTCTGCGAATGGGCAGGGAGGTAATTGCTTTGCATAGAAAAATTTCAATATGAAGTTGGGGAAATTAGTAATTCTTGAGTAATCATTAAGGTAACTGTGAGAGGAAGTTACTCAAAAAATGACTTGTAACGTGGAGAAGAAGACACAGAACAAGATCTAGCAGTGTGATGTGGTAGCTTAATAGAGAAAACATGATCCTTGTGTTTATTTGCAAGAAGAATATTAAGTAGCTGTGGAAGGTGCCTTTTCCTCCATAAACAGTTCTAGGGAGGCCAGTAATAAAATTCTATAGTTAGTTTTGGTACCTTGAGTTTAAAGGTCCTATTGGTGTACTGAAAGAGCTTCAGTAAAGAGTTGCAGGGATGATGTGGAAAATGTAAACCTTCAGAAGATACTGAAGAGTTTTGCAGAGATCAGTTAAGATCTTCCTTGACCACAACCTGTATTTAATTTAAATGATTTTCATAGGACAGTCTTATTGGGAGAAATTAAAAAGTGCAGCAAGTTTCTTTCTAGGAGAAGTTAAATTAAATGGCTGACATGTACATTAATGCATTTATTCTGAAACTGTTTTTATATTTCTTGTTGAATTCAGATACATCTTTCTTGAAAGCTAAAACAGGCAAATACACATCAGGTGAAAAAGAGCCCAAGAGTGGAAATCACATAATGCATCCTCTATTCTTTGTTTTCATAACTAGTCTGTAGCAGAAATTAGGGCAAAGCATAAATTTTATCAGCAGTTCTGAGAACTGACAGCCTTGTGTCAGCCACAGCTGCATAAGTTGTTTTTCTTGGTTCCGAGCTCATAATTGTTGTTGCAGAATAAATTTTCTGGACCAAGGCAGGCTTCATCTGTTTGGTTCTTTTTAACCTTCTGTGGATTGGGGTGGGTGCAGGGAGGTGTTGTTTGCTTGCTTTGTGCTTTTGTGTTTTTTTTTTCTATAGAAAAAAAAGAAAAGATAGCTGGGAAGAAAGATAATAAGTCAAGTAGAGAAGGAAGGAAGCCTTCCTCCACAAAGGAGGAAAAGACAGCTGGAACTCATGTTTCATATTTCAAATTATAATCAGGGTTTGGTTAGTAGAAGTAACTGAATGACTTCTAAGTTCCTCTTTATAATATGGTCCAGCTTGTCTTCGTCTAAGTGATGGCCTGTTAGTGTTACAGTAGTTCCCAAGTGGCAAAAACACTTAGGGCAGTTTTTTCAGTTGAGCCTAGGAACTAGCTAGGCAGAAAGAAAGGTTACTTGGTGTTTCGTTGTTTGTGGTTTTTTTCCCTTAAACAAATAAACAAAAGGTACCATTATTGACAAAAGCTACTAAAAGCTTCTGTGAATACCCGAAAGATGAACTTGCCTGCACGGTTCTAAAACATTCCTTTTTATTATCTTGCCCAGCTGGTGTACAAGAAAATCAATTAAATCACAAAGTGTAGGCATTTTTTTAAAAAAATGGCATCTCAGGAAACCATGTCTATTTAATATAAAATTCTTAGGAAAAAAAATATTCATAAATTCTACTACAAAGTTCTACTGATTATTCTAACTACTGCTTTTTAGGGTTTAGGTTGCTTTGTTGTGTTTTTTTTTTTTTAAATTTTTTGTATCATGAGACTTTTGTCTGATGGTGACTCATTTGGAGAGAGCTACCATTTGGAAAGGTTACTCAGGAATGTACTAATGTTTGGTACTTCTGTTTTTGCCACTGAAAAGATGTAGACCTCATTTCTTGTATTAATTTCTTCAGCTGAGAATATGGCCTTCATTACTTCAGTTAGCTGATCCCCCTTTTTTTGAACCTATGTTACATTAGAAGCCAGTTAGGCATTTGTGATCCCATATGTTGTAATTACCTAGATTTGTTGGTCTTTAATTTGTCAAACTGATATAACAGGCAATGCAATTAAAGGGAAAAAATTCTATTCCACTATTTTCTCAATGTATGTTATTTCATACTTAGTATAGTAAGAATTCAAAGAAATGGCAGAGTAATAGGTTTGTGTCATTTTAGGCTATTAGGGAGCTATTTATCCTTTCAGATTGCAATTCCCTGTGTAGCTATCCTAGGCATTAGGACTAGTCTACACGCTGGAAAATCTGACTTGTGGTGCCAAGGAAATTTATAAGGAGACTATACCGTATGAAATTTAGCATAGTAAGAATTCCACAGTCCTCTCCTGAATCATTATTATGTATTCATTTAGCAATACATGTGGAATTTTGAAGACATTTGACCACTTCTTGGTGCACAGGAAAATGGAAACACTATGGTCTTTCACCGAGGTGCCCTGGTGACTTCACTAGCAGCTGGAAGTTCTATAGAGTCCAGCCTCTATCACAATAGATAACCTGATTTTTCTATCCATATATATAACTTTTAATATTTTTAGATAGAAGTAGACTGATATAAAATGAGTGGCTGCCAGAAGGATCAGCTTGCAGGCAGCACCAGGTTGCAGCTGAGTGAGGGAGACAGGATAAGGATATAGATAATGGTGGGAAAAAGTCTTACTAAGTCCTTATGCAAGCTTGAAGATTTAGTTTGTTTTCATAAGTAGAAGTTTTTCCTTGTATGGGAGCTACTTCCTAGGTGGCAAAACTCCATAAAATATTTTGGGTTTAGTTTTGTCTTAAAGGAAAATGATATATCCTATTCTGCTTGATATGTATGACTGGTCATGAATTCACTTGTGCAGCTCTTTGGAGCTGTCTGGCCAGTTTAGCAGCTATAGCAATGCATGTAAGAAGACATGAAAAACTAATATTGCATATATTGACTCATCAGTTGTTTGCCATAATTCCTGAAGTTCATATTGTAATACTGTACAGAATGGCAGAGGTTAAATCCTATTGCTTCTGGGTTAACTGCTTGTGCAATGTGTTTCTAGCCACTGTTAGTTTTGCAGTTTGTTTCTTAACAGAACTGCATCATTCCCTTTCTTATAAGGGAGGACTGAACTTTCTTCAGCTTTCAAGGACCCCCTCCTAAGTCAGCATCAGCCTTTTTGAGTGTCGAATAAATCAGGAATGCATAAACGAAAAAAATGTGTGCCTCCCACAATATTAGATTTTCCAAATCTGGAACAAAAATAGTGGTATTGATATAAACCTTTCCTTTTCGTGTCATGTGGAGAAACTTGTGGATACTGGGGGTGTTTTCAAAAGAGTTAGGAAACTACTGGTAATATGACTTGGGAATATAGCTTTAAGAAACTGGAAAGGAGATTAAAAAATGTGCGATGCAAAAGTCGTCTTTCCTTAAGAGTCAGAGGAAGGCAATTGTGCTGGTTTTGGCTGAGATAGAGTTAATTTTGTTCATTGCAGCTCGTATGGGGCTGTGCTTTGGATTTATGCTGAAAACAGTGCTAATAACGCAGAGATTTTTTCATTATTGCTGTCTGTACTTACACAGGGTTGAGGCCTTTTTTGTGTCTCACCCCACCCCACCAGCGAGTAGGCTGGGGGTGCACTAGAAGCTGGGAGGGGACACAGCTGGGACAGCTGACCCCAACTGACCAAAGGGATATTCCATACCATATGGAATGCTCATGCTCAGTATATAAAGCTGAGGAAAGAAGAAGGAAGGAGGGATGTTCAGAGTGATGGCATTTGTCTTACCAAGTCACTGATATGTGTGATGGAGCCCTTCTTTCCTGGAGATGACTGAACATCTGCCTGCTGATGGGAAGGAGTAAAGGAATTCCTGGTTTTGCTTTACTGGTTAAACTGTCTTTATCTCAACCTGTGAGTTTTCTCACTTTTACCCTTGTGATTCTGTCCTCTCTCCCACTGAGCGAGGGGAAGGGACCGAGTGAGTGACTGTGTGGCTCCGTTGCTGGCTGGGGTTAAACCATGACATCAATGAAGGAGTAACTTTTTATAAGTGAAGAAGATTGATGGAGTAGCTTTTTATGAGTAACTAAGTAGGTTAGGATTCTTCAGTGGAGAGAGAGGCGCAGCATGGGGATCTGGCCCTGTTCCTTGCAGGGGGGTTGGACTAGATGACCCTTGAAGGTCTCTTCCAGCCCTAACCATTCTATGATTCTATGATTCTATATAATGGAATCTGCGAAATCAGGAATGGTGTGGTAGATGTTCAGTCATTTCTATACAAAAACTATGAGACATCAAATGAAGTGAGTAGGAGCCAAACAAACAAAAGGGAGTCCTTGTTTATTACAAAATGGTTGGAAATTTCTTATTAATGAATGTTAAAGCGTAACTGGGTTCAAGAAAACACTGAGTAAAGCAATAGAAGAGAATACACAGAAAACAGCATCTAGATAAGGAAGTTACCATAGCTGAAAATGGTTGGAGATTGTGAAAGCGTTGAGAGGTGTGACGTTTGCTGCAGTCTGTCTTCCCCAGATACTTATTTACAGCCAATCTGCCATGGATTAACTTTTGGCTGACCCAGTAGGGTCACTCTCTTAAATTCTGTGTGTTATTGGTTCTTGGGACTCAATACCTTGCTGGTTTTGCAGGTGGACATGGACAAATCTATCCTTTCACAAGGGTCAAACTTCAAAGAAATTATTTTAAATTAAATTTGTACTTTTTGTTCTATATAAAGATTCCTCTTTAGGACTGAATCCCTACAGCTAAGAATAGCACCCCACTCACACTCTGGTGTCTGTTATCCAGAGGAGTAGTGTGTCATTGAGGGCACTGGGTTGGCAGCCTCTGGTGCCGTTTACCCAGCCTCTGTTCATTGCCCTTCTGAGCCTTCTGCCATAATAGGCACTTTTGGATATCATGATAGATACTCTGAATGTGTCCTCCATGAGTCTAGCTCCCTAACCTTGTGGTGTTTGATTTGTTAATAATTTAGTAATAGGTTGTTAAAAGCATTTCAGTTTCTAAAGATAAAGCATTTAATAGTTGTTCATTTCAAAGG